TGCCTGATTAATGAGCAGTTGCAGTAAGCGCTCGTTCAATCTCCAACACAACAATATTGAAGTCACGAGTATCGAAATAAACTTAAACAATAAACTATAAGAATGGGAGCACTACTAAACAATCAGTCTTTCTTTACCATTGATATTTCTACGATTTGATGCAATTGAAATACTGCCTTCAACGACCCGAGCTCATCCACTCACTACATCTTGTCATTCGTACAATATTAGTTTATGTTTAATCCTTGTCTCACACAGGTAACATGAATGTATGATTGTGTGTTTGTATGTATGTCAAACGATAGTAGTAATAGGAAGACACCTAGGTTTATCCACAGGCAACTGGAACATACAAACACAGTATCAGATATATATATATAGTTCTGTGAGATATATTCGCTCAGCCTACGGGCTCGGTTCTCCTTCCCACTCGAGTGTCACGTTCCTCCCACGACAAAGAGCTCACGGCTAAGAAGGCAACTGAATGAAGCCCAGTGTAACTGAATAGGTCGCCATTGCAAGCACGAGTAACTGAAGGAAACTATATTTTCGGCAGGGTTAATAACAAATCTGTGACTTGTTGATCAGTTTTGATAGTTTCTATGACGTTTGATCTTCAAACCGTTGTATTGTGAAATGCATCAGTATTTTTGTTTTCCTGAGGTTCGACATCGGAGTCTCACTAGGACACATACATTTAGAACATAATATTGACGTGAAACACACTTCTCCATATAGTTTCCTCTCTCATCCCGTTATCGCTTATCATCCCAGCTGTCTCATTAACTCACTATTTCTCTGGTCATCCTCATCATCTTTTTTCCTGGCGTTCTAATATCACTCTTTCGGTTGCAGTTCCACCCCTTTCTTACTCGTTCGGTCCCTCCAAGACATCTAGACTCTGAGATGAAATCACTGTAGGGTCGTTTGAAAAGTGATAGAAAGGAGGACAAATAATCTCACCCTGTTTCACTCTGACAGCGAGAAAGTATTGATAATTACAAAACTATTACGAAATCAAGACAAGCCGAACTATTACAGGCTCACTTTTTGATAGATTTCGAATATGTTGGTTTCATTGTCTACATGAGTGAGAGACTACTTCCCTTTCCCGTCTTTCTCTCTTGTTCACTAACTCGCTTTCTGCTCTCTTTCTTTAAAATTCCATACTAGTTTTAATTCTCTACCTGTGATTGTCTAGTCATTTTACAGTCCTTTGTCGAAATATTTTATAATTATATAACTTTATGTATTACCAATAAATGAATTTAGTCACGATATGACTGAATTATTACCGGTGTGATTATAATTTTAACTCACTCACTCTCACGCACTCCAGTTTCTACTACAGTACAACCAGACATTATTGAGAAGATTGTAAACTTTTAAATGTTTTCACTCATTACTCACGTATTAAAAGTGAACATTAGCAGAACATAACTCCAGATTCAAAGACAGGTGAACAGTTAGTATTTTGTCAAGTCACCATGGGCAGCAATGCCGGCTTCAATGCGGCGGGGCATACTACTGATCAAAGAAGTTAGAAAGTCGTGGTCCATGCTGTCCCCATATCGGACCACCTCTTCTTTCATTTCAGCAATATTTGTCAGATTTTTTCTTATTGACACTTTCCTTCATAAGTCCCCAAACATTTTCTATTGTTTATAAAACACGTGAGCAGATTGAAGTAAATGTCCCTCGAGAATATCTGTGTACCGCCTACTGTTCATATTCCCTTCAAACACACTGATGCCGCCCCACACGTTAAATTTCGGACTGTTCTTTGGGCGCTGATACAAAGGTTTTTCTGTTTGTTTGGTCCAGAATTTCAGTGTATTAGGAAACAGCCACACAGACCTTTCATCTGAGAAAATCACGTTGTCCCAGTTGTCCTTGTTACAATACTCTAATATCAACTTCCTCTTCTCTAAATCATCCGTGTGAAGCCCATTTCTGGTGTCCCCCGCCGTGATGTTGCTGGAATATTGCTAAAAGCGGCGCAAAACCATACTCAGTCAGTCAGTCAGTCTAAATCATCCATACTGAGGATCACTGAAAATGTCGTCTGCGAGCAAGTAAACAAAGGGGGATAACTCTTCACAAACTAATGAAAAAGGATTAACGGAGTTGTCTCTCTTGAATGAAACCAAGCACTTGATGGCTGGTCAAGGTTGTTTATACTAGAAATCCAATTAAACATATTCCTAAAGTTCTCAATAATTTCTGGTCATACTATATTATCCTCCCATCCGCTGTATCTGTGTGTGGCGGCCGTGTGTCAACCGTGTCATACTGCTGGTTACGTCGTGTCTCTCAGCCACACCAAGTCGCTCATCCATGCTCAGATATTATGAAATTGACCGCGTTATTTGACACATTTCCCCATGTTTTGAATAACTTAGGTCACTCGTATGTGTGTATTCTCAGAGTTTCATTTCCGAAACAAAATGTTGAAACAAAGTGAATTGTCAGGACTGTGACAGGTACTTGAATCACGCATTGCTGCATTTATTGACAACGGTTTGGAACATCAATTGTTATTTTCATCTTAAATAAATAACTAGTTTGTTATGAAAGTACTTCACAGATAATGAGTTCCAACTGACATACATGTCCACTGGCTGTTTGCATTCAGGCCGGTATCGAGGCTACCTACCACCCAGCATATAGACGTGGTTTGTTAACAGCCACATTAAGTGAGAATTGACAATTCGGTATCGTTGCCTGTTTCCGATAACGATGTATCAGAAAACAAACTGTGGAGTGTAATATGGCCTTCTGTTATTAACTGCAGGTGAAAGGGTCTGTGACAGTCCCCGGTGTGTGGACTGGCAGTGTGGTGGTATTACGACATACCCAACCCACCAATACATAACAGGTCACATGGGAATACTTACTGTTATACACCATGATGTGTTTCAACAATCATACATGACGTCAGTTAATTCCATTTTACACACATAATTTTTGTCTGTTTTCTTCATAACGACCAAAAACAAATGTATTCTAAAAACACTGAGAGAAATATATCGTAAATCTATATCATACCTTGGCAAGAGAAAATATACTGTAAGTGGATACCATACATTGGCAAGAGAAAATATACTGTAAGTGAATGTCATACATTGGCAAGAGAAAATATTATGTAAGTAGATACCATACACTGGCAAGAGAAAATATACTGTAAGTGAATATCTTACATCGGCAAGAGAAAATATACTGTAAGTGAATGTCATACATTAACAAGAGAAAATATAATGTAAGTGGATACCATACATTGGCAAGAGAAAATATACTGCAAGTGAATGTCATACATTAGCAAGAGAAAATATTATGTAAGTAGATACCATACATTGGCAAGAGAAAATATACTGTAAGTGGATGTCTTACATCGGCAAGAGAAAATATACTGTAAGTGAATGTCATACATTAGCAAGAGAAAATATAATGTAAGTGGATACAATACATTGGCAAGAGAAAATATACTGCAAGTGAATGTCATACATTAGCAAGAGAAAATATTACGTAAGTGGATACCATACATTGGCAAGAGAAAATATACTGCAAGTGAATGTCATACATTTGCAAGAGAAAATATACTGTAAGTGGATATCATACATTAGCAAGAGAAAATATTATGTAAGTGGATATACATCGTACATTAGAGAAAATGTAAGAGAAACCATATTGGCTAGAGGAAACATACTGTAAGTGGATACCATACATTGTCAAGAGAAAACTATATGTGTACCATACATTTTGCTACATTGGCTAGAGAAAATATACTGTAAGTGGATACCATACATTGGCTAGAAACATACTGTAAAATCTATACTACCATACATTGGCAAGAGGAAATATACCATGGATACCATACATTGGCAGAGGAAACATACTGTAAGTGGATACCATACATTGGTAACAGAAAATGTACTATATGTGTATACCATACATTTGCAAGAGAAAATATACTGTAAGTGGATACCATACATTGGCTAGAGAAAACATACTGTAAGTGGATACCATACATTGGCAAGAGGAAACATACTGTAAATCTATACCATACATTGGCTAGAGGAAACATACTGTAAGTGGATACCATACATTGGCAAGAGGAAACATACTGTAAGTGGATACCATACATTGGCAACAGAAAATGTACTATATGTGTATACCATACATTTGCAAGAGAAAATATACTGTAAGTGGATACCATACATTGGCTAGAGAAAATATAATGTAAGTGTATACCATACATTGGCAAGAGGAAACATACTGTAAGTGGATACCATACATTGGCTAGAGAAAATATACTGTAAGTGTATACCATACATTGGCAACAGAAAATGTACTATATGTGTATACCATACATTGGCATGAGAAAATACACGACGGTGGGTACATTAAGAGCTGCTTACATTGACAACACACATTCGTGTTCAATCTGGTCTTCAGCAACGCATGCTTGTGATCCGACAGCAGAAATGGGTGTTCAGGCTCAATGTCTCGGTTGATACTTGTCACTGTATCCAGTAGCGTATAAACAATGTCAGTTACTCACATGTCCGGCGAAGACACTTTTATTTACATACCGCCCTCATATATCAGTCACATTCTATTCACGATCAAATGTCGACGACGAAAAATGAACACCACAATACACAACACTACAATCCACTCTGATGGGCTTAAACACTGCATTCACAAAGCCAGAATGTCCATATAAAGCCGTGGAGTCCAGTGTTATGTGATGCTGAATGTATGTACAACGTATGTTGACACACAGATAGTGGAATAGAAGACAGGTACAAATTCTGTGAAGAAAAACCCAAGCAGGACAAACTTTTATTCTTTATCACTTCGGACGTCATATTAATGTAATGAATGGAAATTAACTATTCTTTTTATCCAGTAAGCTCAGCTCATGATAGTCCATGTAACAAAATCTACAGACAAGGGGACTGTCAACTTATATAAGTAGGCCTACTCTAACTACATAGCATCTCAGTTTCACACACCGGTTATACAGCAACTGGTGTTGTTCTCGTGTACACCTGAGCATCTGGAAGAGAAGCTTGGACATCAGACCGATCGATACTCTCGACAGTGACACACCCAGCAACGGTACTCTCGAGAGTGACACACCTCACACCGATACTCTCGACAGTGACACACCCAATAACGATACTCTCGACAGTGACACACCTCACACCGATACTCTCGACAGTGACACACCCAATAACGATACTCTCGACAGTGACACACCTCACACCGATACTCTCGACAGTGACACACCCTACACCGATACTCTCGACAGTGACACACGCAACAACGATACTCTCGACAGTGACACACCCTACACCGATACTCTCGACAGTGACACACGCAACAACGATACTCTTGACAGTGACACACCCAACAACGATACTCTCGACAGTGACACACCCAACAACGATACTCTCGACAGTGACACACGCAACAACGATACTCTCGACAGTGACACACCTCACAACGGTACTCTCGACAGTGACACACCCAACAACGATACTTTCGACAGTGACAGACCCAACAACGATACTCTCGACAGTGACACACCCAATAACGATACTCTCGACAGTGACACACCTCACACCGATACTCTCGACAGTGACACACCCTACACCAATACTCTCGACAGTGACACACCCTACACCGATACTCTCGACAGTGACACACCTCACACCGATACTCTCGACAGTGACACACGCAACAACGATACTCTCGACAGTGACACACCCTACACCGATACTCTCGACAGTGACACACCCTACACCGATACTCTCGACAGTGACACACCTCACACCGATGCTCTCGACAGTGACACACCCTACACCGATACTCTTGACAGTGACACACCTCAACACCGATACTCTCGACAGTGACACACGCAACAACAATACACTCGACAGTGACAGACCCAACAACGATACTCTCGACAGTGACACACGCAACAACGATACTCTCGACAGTGACACACCCAACAACGATACTCTCGACAGTGACACACGCAACAACGAAGTGACACACGCAACAACGATGCTCTCGACAGTGACACACGCAACAATGATACTCTCGACAGTGACACACACAACAACGATACTCTCGACAGTGACAGACCCAACAACGATACTCTCGACAGTGACACACCCAACAACGATACTCTCGACAGTGACACACCAACAACGAAGTGACACACGGAACAACGATGCTCTCGACAGTGACACACGCAACAACGATACTCTCGACAGTGACACACCCAACAACGATACTCTCGACAGTGACACACGCAACAACGATACTCTCGACAGTGACACACCCAACAACGATACTCTCGACAGTGACAGACCCAACAACGATACTCTCGACAGTGACACCCAACAACGATACTCTCGACAGTGACACACCCAACAACGAAGTGACACACGCAACAACGATGCTCTCGACAGTGACACACGCAACAACGATACTCTCGACAGTGACACACCCAACAACGATACTCTCGACAGTGACACACCCAACAACGATACTCTCGACAGTGACACACGCAACAACGATACTCTCGACAGTGACACACCCAACAACTATACTCTCGACAGTGACACACCCAACAACGATACTCTCGACAGTGACACACCCAACAACGATACTCTCGACAGTGACACACGCAACAACGATACTCTCGACAGTGACACACCTCACAACGATACTCTCGACAGTGACACACCCAGCAACAGTACTCTCGAGAGTGACACACTCAACAACGATACTCTCGACAGTGACACACCCAACACCGATACTCCCCAAAGTGATATTCCCTACACCAATATTCACCAAGATGGAAGTCACAAAGAAAGTTATGTAGATAGCGTCATCAAATTGTAATGGTTTATCTGATAAGCTGCAAATTAAATAAGAAAATGTGAGACATAAATACTCCCCCTGGGACAGTATCACACATGACGAATATGTTTGATTGACTGCACGGTTCCTGGATGTAGTCAGTATGTGAGTTATCAGTGGTATCTGTGGCTATCGGGAGATCACAACCCAAGACTGATGTATCGCAGCACCGAAACTCATCTAATCACGACATGTCACGTGGGGGATGCGCAGATGCTGTATCTACGTCCGACTCGTAAATCTACGATATCGTAATCACGCTTTGATATCTGTCGAAACACCGTCATAGGTGACAGAATGTATGAAATTTTTTACTGACTTAATTTTAGATTTATAGTAACTCCTGAAATATTAATAACAACAATAATACCACGACAGCTATGCTGCTGCTGCTACTATTGCTACTACTGCTGCTACTATTGCTACTACTGCTGCTACTATTGCTACTACTGCTGCTATTGCTACTACTATTGCTACTACTGCTGCTGCTACTACTGCTGCTACTGCTGCTGCTACTGCTGCTACTATTGCTACTACTACCATTAATACGTCACCAGAAGCAAATGTTTGCAGTCAAGAACGCCGACTAAAATGGCAATCGGAAAATGTCATCACCAAGTGTTTCCATGACTTTTCGCTAATTGCAAGTTCCCGGTCGTTATATTATTCTACTTTTGTTTTCTTATCATATCATTTTATGTGTTGAAGTCATTCGTTTCACTAATGACCGTGAATACAGTCTTTGTGCATAGTGGTCATCGCTACAGTCGACCGCAATTAGGACCAGATCAAGAGATGGATGCACTACTAGCATGGCTGGCCGAGTAACGATCTTAATGGGCCTCCGTGGTATAGAACAGTCACTCATTCACGTTGTTACACAATCAAACAGGACTTAAAGGTCCAGAAAACAAGTGATACTGTTCACGGTTTCTCTCAGGAGCAGATGTTACGGATTCGTAACCACGATAGTTTTTAACTTGACAAGAGTTCGTTAAGTCGTGCGTGATCTGTGTAAGTGAGGAGGTCTAGGAACGACCACACACCTGCACGTAGTGCTGAGTTGAGATTAGTTGAAGATTGCCGTGAGGTAAGTGAGGGCGGGTCAAATACAAAACACACTGTTTATTTTAAAAAGTAAATCATACGAAAAACCAATCAACTTTGAATTTATTCAGAAGGAACTCAAAAGTTTTTATTACTTTACGAAATACACAGCAAAACTGTACGGACATCTTAACCAATTTACTAAATTCTGGTCATCTTGTCACCCTTTATTTATATAGACAACTATATACACTGTTTATAAATACAACAAAAACAAAACAAAAACAAAACAAAACAAAACAAAAACATACTGCCAGAAACAATTAAGCTCAGTTGTCCCCATACTACCACTCCTACCTGTGGATGGTGTGGACTACCTCGTCCCCTAAACTATATCGTAGGTAAACATGTCTTCCTGCAGTGATCGCGCAATTTCTAACAGACTGAATCCAGATCGTGGGGTCTGCACAGCAACGGGTTCTAGATTGTGGGGTTTCCAAAGTAACGGGGTCCAGATCGCCTGTTTAAAGTAAGGGAGTCCAGAGAGATGGGGCTCGCTAACACGATAGGGAGAAAACGATGGATATTGTTGGGTTTTTTAGCAGCCATGACGGTATCGTCCGACATGAGCGAGTGTAATTGATGAGCATGCGAGCCCCACCCCAACCAACTATCAGGCCTACCACAGCTGGGCCGAGATAACCCACCCTGTGCCTGGATTCCTGGCTGACGGGGAACAGCGCCACCTCTGGGTTATCTCCACCACACACCCCGGCTACGTCACTGTCTCCGGACAAAGGCGGATCAGCCACGGACCATACGTATCATACGTTAATCCTATCACTGTCAACATGGCTCGTTATTATTACAGATGCCCTGTCTTATTTGTGCAGTTTGTATCCGCACCTTCATACAAGGAAAGCCACAAGAGTGCACTTGACGTCAAACTTCTGGCTTACCGAAGAGGATATCATACTTTGATATATTTCATATAAAATGAGTAGAGGGGTGATTTTTTTTATTTGCTTGACATGTTCTACACAGTAGATGAGTGCAGTGTGAAAAACAGTAGTTATTTTCACAACGTATTAAATATTTGTGGCTCAGCGGGGATTCAAAGTTAAAATAGATCCTCAGTAACTCGTGCTGAGTCTCCGTGTAAGGATTCCAGATCAAATGGGGCGTCCAGTACCTCGTGTTGAGTCGCTGTGTAAGGATTCCAGATCAAATGGGGCGTCCAGTACCTCGTGTTGTGTCTCTGTGTCAGGATTCCAGGTCAAATGAGGCGTCCAGTACCTCGTGTTGTGTCTCCGTGTCAGGATTCCAGGTCAAATGAGGCGTCCAGTACCTCGTGTTGAGTCTCCGTGTCAGGATTCCAGGTCAAATGGGGCGTCCAGTACCTCGTGCTGAGTCTCCGTGTCAGGATTCCAGGTCAAATGGGGCGTCCAGTACCTCGTGTTGTGTCTGCGTGTCAGGATTCCAGGTCAAATGGGGCGTCCAGTACCTCGGGCTGAGTCTCCTTGTCAGGATTCCAGGTCAAATGGGGCGTCCAGTACCTTGTGTTGTGTCTCCGTGTCAGGATTCCAGGTCAAATGGGGGCGTCCAGAACCTCGTGTTGAATCTCTCTGTCAGGATTCCAGGTCAAATGGGGCGTCCAGTACCTCGTGTTGAGTCTCCGTGTCAGGATTCCAGGTCAAATGGGGGCGTCCAGAACCTCGTGTTGAGTCTCTCTGTCAGGATTCCAGGTCAAATGGGGCGTCCAGTACCTCGGGTTGTGTCTGCGTGTCAGGATTCCAGGTCAAATGGGGCGTCCAGTACCTCGGGCTGAGTCTCCGTGTCAGGATTCCAGGTCAAATGGGGCGTCCAGTACCTCGGGTTGTGTCTCCGTGTCAGGATTCCAGGTCAAATGGGGCGTCCAGTACCTCGTGTTGAGTCTCTCTGTCAGGATTCCAGGTCAAATGGGGCGTCCAGTACCTCGGGCTGAGTCTCCGTGTCAGGATTCCAGGTCAAATGGGGCGTCCAGTACCTCGTGTTGAGTCTCCTTGTCAGGATTCCAGGTCAAATGGGGCGTCCAGTACCTCGTGCTGAGTCTCCGTTGTCAGGATTCCAGGTCAAATGGGGCGTCCAGTACCTCGTGCTGAGTCTCCTTGTCAGGATTCCAGGTCAAATGGGGCGTCCAGTACCTCGGGCTGAGTCTCCTTGTCAGGATTCCAGGTCAAATGGGGCGTCCAGTACCTCGTGCTGAGTCTCCGTGTCAGGATTCCAGGTCAAATGGGGCGTCCAGTACCTCGTGCTGAGTCTCCGTGTCAGGATTCCAGGTCAAATGGGGGCGTCCAGTACCTCGTGTTGTGTCTGCGTGTCAGGATTCCAGGTCAAATGGGGCGTCCAGTACCTCGTGCTGAGTCTCCTTGTCAGGATTCCAGGTCAAATGGGGCGTCCAGTACCTCGTGCTGAGTCTCCTTGTCAGGATTCCAGGTCAAATGGGGCGTCCAGTACCTCGGGCTGAGTCTCCTTGTCAGGATTCCAGGTCAAATGGGGGCGTCCAGTACCTCGTGCTGAGTCTCCGTGTCAGGATTCCAGGTCAAATGGGGCGTCCAGTACCTCGTGTTGAGTCTCCGTGTCAGGATTCCAGGTCAAATGGGGCGTCCAGTACCTCGTGTTTAGTCTCTGTGTCAGGATTCCAGGTCAAATGGGGGCGTCCAGTATCTCATGTTGTGTCTGCGTGTCAGGATTCCAGGTCAAATGGGGGCGTCCAGTACCTCGTGTTGAGTGTCCTTGTCAGGATTCCAGGTCAAATGGGGGCGTCCAGTATCTCATGTTGTGTCTGCGTGTCAGGATTCCAGGTCAAATGGGGGCGTCCAGTACCTCGTGTTGTGTCTGCGTGTCAGGATTCCAGGTCAAATGGGGCGTCCAGTACCTCGTGTTGTGTCTGCGT